CTACTTATATGTTAAACATTTTAAATGCTATCTAGAACATTTTCAACTCCACAAGTTGAAAAGTGAAGTGTGAGTGCTCAAAAATTATTTGGATTTGAATCGAAATGTCACACCACAATATACATCACCACGATGTAAAAAAGATGTGGAGACTCTAGAAAGAGTACAGAGAAGACAAAGATGGTTAGGGGACCGGAGGCTAAAATATATAAAGAACGGTTGCTGGAATTGGGTATGTCTAGTTTAATTAAAAGAAGGACTAGGAGAGACATGATGGCAGTGTTCCACTATCTCAGGGGCTGCCACAAAGAAGAGGGAATCAATCTATTCTCCAAAGCACCTGAGGGTAGAACAAGAAGCAATGGGTGGAAACTAATCAAGGAGAGAACTTTCTCACAATGAGAACAATTAACCAATGGAACAGCTTGCCTCCAGAAGTTGTGGGTGCTTCATCACTGAAGCTTTTAGGAAGAGATTGGACAACTATCTGTCTGAAATGGTATAGGGTTTCCTGCCTGAGCAGGGTGTTGGACTAGAAGACATCCAAGATCCCTTCCAATTCTGTTATTCAGTTCAATTTTGATTAATAAAATTCCTTTTTAAGACAATTCCTTTTACAACATTAGGGTAGGAACATTTTGGGTGCATCAGAGTAACCTCAACGGTCAGAAAAGAAATGAATTTCAATGTTCCTCTTCAAATTAAAAGTTAAGTCTTTGTTAGAAGTGCACTTAAAAATCCTGGAAGGCCAGTGAAATTAAATACCAATTTGGAGTTAGCTGAAATATATTATCTATCTTTTGGGACTTGTCAATAGCAAAAGCAGATGGCTTACTTATTATCATAGGTTGTGTCAACCTAGCATTAATAAATGACAAGAACTTCATCATTACAAGAGATTCGCAAATTAAAAGAAAAATGAAGATTCTTGGATTAAGAGACCCCAAAAATATGAATGGAGGCAAATATACATGTCCCAGGATAAGGTTGCAAGATTGAATCTGGATCAGTCACCAGAACCACAGATTTACAGTTCCAATAGGAAGGTACCCTATAAAAACAGAATAGCCCCAAAGCACATATTCCAACAGAGAGACATTCCCAGAGGATGGGCTGCAGCATGAGTCCCTAAATTTGGAAGAGTAAATCTCTGGTCTCAGTAACTGACCCAGATTGGATCTTGCAAAAACAACAGCAAGAGTTGATTGCAAAGGAGAGGGCTAAAAGATATCATTTTCTATGCATTACAAAAAGACAAGTAGGAATTCAATTTATTTATACCAATCATCAGAATGAGATATAGTGCAGAATTAATTGTACGAATTGGAAATGTTAAAGTTCTGTACAGATTACTTTTTCAACCAGTATAATACAAATGCAATATTGTGGAAATTTAGAGCAATTATGTTCTAAAAATTGCTAGGGGAGGTCAAGAACCTCCTTATTACAAGATAACTAAAGTGGATCATCAAAAGTGAAGTTAGCAAATTTATCAATTTGAGTTAGCAAACGTGACAAAATTATACTTATTATACTTCAGGGATCTTTAGAAACTCTTCATGTCATTACCTAAGTTTAGAAACATTAGTGTGTTGCAACAAAATCAATGAAGAGCTGCATATAATTTTATTTTCAACATGGATTATGTTCACCAGATGAATTGGTTAATGGAGAACATTTTGCTGTATGCTAATGTTACAAATGAAACATTAAGCTTTTGATATGTGTTTGAATATTAGTAGCTCAATTTGGTAGTTAGGCTGCTAGTCTGAGCTCCGAGCTTGGCAATTTGGTTGCAAATGTTTCATCACCATTTGAGTAGACATCGTCAGTGCATTTTGAATTGTGCTTGTCTGTCAGAAAACAGGTCTTTAAATAGCTTTATATTTAATATTTAAAAATGTAAGAATAATAAAACAAGTGTTTAAAGACCTGGCAGATGAGCACAATTCAAAATGCACTGACAATGTCTCCTCGAACAATGATGAAACGTTTGCAACCAAATTGCCACGTTCGGGGCTCAAACCAACACCCCAATTAAACTTTTTGGTGGATGGATGAATTTATGCACATTCTGAAATAATATGTTCATTTGTTCCCTACTGAGTCTAATACAGAGCTGACTCTCAGTTACAGAGGTCCTTGTACTGAGGATATTAAGGTTTTGATAGAAATCACCAAATGTTTAATGTTAGATGGAACTCTCATAGCTGTGTACATACCTGATTGGAAATATCCCAAAGGTATTTTCCCCCCCAAAAAGGCAACTGGACTTCCTTGGTGTTTACTTTGAAAACATTTCACTTCTCATGCAGGAAGTTTCTTAAGTTCTAACTGGAGGAGAAGTCCAGTTGCCTTTTTTTGGGGGGGGGAACACATTTGGGACAACCATGACCTGAATGATTAAGAATCTTCATAGACACTTGGGACATATTTTATCTGTATGGTTATAGTAATCCTTTTTGAAGCCATTACCTTTGTACGGTTGTGTACTCTGAACAACTGGGAGTTTTTGAGAAATAAGTAGTTCTGCAGGAGTATAACATGAGTAACTAATCAAGGTTGTTCCAATTTAAGGGAGAACCATCTTTTGTTCTGCTGAATAAACATGCTTGATTATTAAGAAACATCCGGATTCTGTCTTTTCTGTCAGACCTGGACCCATCTTTTACATTTGGGCCTTCAGGCCTGCCACATTTTCTACTGTGGGAAAATGGGAGTGGGGATTATATGGAGTATGGGTGATATATAGTCAAAATAACATTCTTTTCTCACTGATTCAAGGACATCTTGCACTGTAGCTGCGATGGTGTGACTGGGAGGCATCTCCAGTTTTGGATGGTGTCTGATTGGACCATGTGATGGACATGTGGGTGCTGGGCAGGGACTTGAACTTTCTTTTGGGTGGAGAAAACCTGGAAACTTTCAGATTTGGGTTTTCCCAGATGTGCCAATATGACATCTCTAATAAAATGGAACTTTGAGGAAACTCAAGCCTCGGAGTCTTCTTTCATTGGGGGTCTTACTTGGAACCCTGACATTAACCTGACCTCCCATTTTCCCACAGTATTATTACCGAGTCAAACCTGAACCCCTGCATAACAATCCTAGCAAGATGAGCACACAGCAGATATCATTGGCGCCTTAAAAAGCAATCACAGAAGTTTCCATAAACTGAGATGTCACCCCTTAATGCCATATTCAGAGTAGAGTAGCCATTATAATTACAACAGCAATTATTTTGAGGTTGTACAAAACTGTGGGCTGATATCATGTACCATTTAAGTTTACAGTGAGGTGGTTTGCACGTTAGCAGGACCAGCTTGGGTAAATACCATATTTTTTGGACTATAAGACGCAACAAGATTTTGAAGATTTTTTAAAAACGTTTTTGCACTCTGCAGGCCCCCAAACCCTCTGCATGCCTCATGCAGGGCATGAGGAAGGGCAAAAACTAGCAAAAAACGAAACGGGCCTGTTTTTTGCCCCCCAAAAAAGGGCATGCATAGCCTTTAGGAGGCTTGTAGAGTGCTCCTGGGGCCTGGGGGGGGGGGGCAAAAACAAGCAAAAAAAAATGGTCTGTTTTTCACTCGCTTTTGCCCTTCCCAGCCCCAGGAGCACTTCGCAGGCCTCCCAAACCCTCTGCATGTCCATTTGTGTGAAGGGGGCAGGGTTTCAGGAGGCAAAAAAAAATATGCTATATTTTTTGTAAAAGATGCACCAGGATTTTCAACCTCTTTTGGGAGGGAAAAAGGTTTGTCTTATACTCCAAAAAATACGATACATTCTGGTAGGAAAGAAATTCCCTGAGTAGGGGCTCCAGCATGTGTCCAAAAGTTCAGAAGACTGAACTTCTGGTTCTGGTGACTGAATCAGATTATCATATTTTTTGGAGTATAAGATGCACTGGATAAGACGCACCTAGATTTTGAAGAGACAAATTTTTAAAAAAGTTTTTGCACTCTGCAGATCTCCCCCAAATCCCCAAATCTCTCCCCAGATTTTGCTAAAACAGGCCTGTTTTTTGTCAAAAAATGGCATGCATAGCCTTTAGGAGGCTTATAGAGTGCTCCTGGAGGCTGAGGGAGGACCAAAAAACAGCCCATTTTTTGCTCAGTTTTGTCCTCCCCAGCCCCCAGGAGCACTCTATAAGCCTCCTAAAGGCTATGCACGGCCATTTTGGTAAAGGGAGTGGAGTTTCGGTGGGCCACAAATGCTGTATTCAGTGTATAAGACACACCCAGATTTTCAGCCTCTTTTTTGAGGGAAAAAGGTGTGTCTTATACTCCAAAAAATACAATAGATCTTCCAGCTTGGGAGAGGTATGAGATTTGATGATGACCGGACACACTTATCCCTGAAAGGGAATTGATGGGGGGAGGGGTCTATGTGTCAGAGGTCAACCCCGCATTGGGCTCAAGTTCCACCTGGTCTCACAGTTTGGCTCTCTCCATGTTGTTTCATTTTTTCCCCCAGTTCTTTCAACTTACTTTCTGCCTCGGGTTGAATTAAAAGTCCCGCCGTATTTCTTCCGGTTAAGGATGAGAGCTGCAATTTCTGGCACGTAGCGCGCAAACATTGCCTACATGCACGAAAGAAAAGCAAAACAAAAAAAGAAAAGAAAAGAAAAGAAAAAATGGCATGCAGAGAGTGTTCTGCGGCACCAAAGGCAGCAGGGTGCCTCGGAATACTTACTTTCTTCCACTAACCGCACTATAGGAACCACCATATTTCTTGCGGTTTCCTATTAACTCTATGATTTCAGGGACGTAACTGGCAAACATGGCCTAAGGAAGAAGACAGGAGACAGAGAAAAGACTAAAAAGAGAGGTCAAAGGAAGGGGAAGGGGCCGATGAGGTTTTTTTATAAGAAGATACATCATCCTTACGATCTGAAAAAATGCAAGGCACAGGCCCTAACCATGTCTTTCCTCCAAAAACAAAAACAAAACAAGAAAAAAAGATCGCAAAAAGTTTTCATCTCAAAACAAGGACGTCAAATGTTGGGTATTTTTTTTTTTTGTAAAGAAAACAGTCAAAAGAGGGAGACAGGAATGAAAAAAAATATATATAATGCAAAAAAGGGGGGAAAAACAAAACAAAACCAAGAACAAGAACAAAATCGAGTCAAAGGGACATTGAAGGGAGATAAAACAGCGCCGTGGCTCGTGTTTTCGGAAAGGGGCGAGTGGACTTTTTTTCAAATATTTACTGTCCAAAACTCCCCGCCAAGCCAAGACAAAGCCGTATTTCTGATGCTTGCATTATTTTGAGTATTTTAGATGAGACAGATGAGGAGGGTTTTTTTTTTTCACGTAATGTCAATGGTTTGCTAAACAAAAGCAGAGTGGATTTTCTGCAGAGTGAAAATGGACATGATGTAAAGTTTTTTTTGTTTTTTTAAAGTTCATCTTTTTAAAAGACGTATAAGAAAATGTAAGGATGTAAAAGGGAAAAAAGGCAACGAGGAAGAAAAAAAATGTATTCTGCCATGTTTTGTCCAACAAACAGTTTGCTTGTGGCTGGGATGCCTCAAAGAGCTGCTGCCACTACCGATCTACCCTTTTTGGCAAGGGAAGGAAAATGCACAAAAAGGTTTAGCGATAAAGTCACTAAAATGAGAGGTGTGCCTGTCTATATATGTACACCTTCATTACTTTTAAGTCTGTAATACAGGGTGGGGTCCAACCCTGGCAACTTTACGAATTGTGAACTTCAACTCCCATAATTCCTTGCCCATCCATGCTGGCAGAGGTACTCTGGGACTTGAAGTCCACAAGTCATAAAGTTGCCAAAATTGGATACCCCTGTTGTAAATATACATGCATATTTGCACATACACATACAGGCACATTTCTACACACACACACCTGGGGTTGAAGAAATCACTTACCTTATAGTTCAACCTGAACGTTGGTTGGGTTTTTATTTTTCCTCTAGGGCACGGGTCGGCAACCTTAAACACTCAAGGAGCCACAAAAGTCCTAACCAGAAGCACTCTGTTCAATTCTGGAGCCAACCAGAAGTCCGGTTTCCCCAGCATAGAATTTCCTCCTAGCGTAGCGTCCATTTCCCTCTACCTCTCCTAGCCAAAAGCCCTATCAATCATGGAGCTGACTGGTGACAGGGAGCCGCAGCAGAGGGATGAAAGAGCCACATGTGGCTCCAGAGCAACATGCAGCTCCAGAGCCACGGATTGTCGACCTCTGCCCTAGGGCAAAAATACAGCTGGTGCCAGAAATTTATTGCATTGAGAAAAAAAATTGGTAGTTTGTTCAGGGACAATATCTATAAGGGGGGAAATCAACTTTGTTCAGGATGTTCCTTTAGTATCCTGAGCACCACAGCTGGAGCATCTGCAAGGGCACCCAAAGAGTTAACATAGCTGTTGCCTCCATGCGATCCAAGCCTAGCATTTTAGAGATCTTAATCCTCCAGAATTAAGGCTTCCTTTTCCCCTTCCGAAAATAAATCTCTCAATAAATCTCTCAATATCTCTCTCAATATCTCTCTCAATATCTCTCTCAATATCTCTCTCA